GTGGTCCTGCACTGTCTCAAGCTTTTTGTGCTGGGGCTCTTGGTCTTACTGCTGGCTATCATTGGCCTTCAGGGATTAGCAGCTTGTTTTCTCTGGAGGGTAGGGTACCCTTCTGGCTTGCACTGGGCAGGAACAGGACCTCCCTGTTGGCCTCTCCTGGGCATGGGGGTTAGCTGATATTCCAGGGATGAGGCCTCGCTGCTGGGTTGCTACGGAAAAAGGGCCTCTCTGCTGGTAGGCCCTATGAAGAGGGTCTCAATGTCGGCCAGGGTAGGGCTTCACTACTGGCCTGCCTTTTTCCATTTACTACATAGGAAACCTGGGGTGGCAAATCATTTCACCTCTTGACCCCTTATTGGCAAAAAGAAAGGGTTGGATTGTTCCTTTCTGGCTCTAAATTTAGGATGTATGGTGTATTCAACACCCTAGAATGTAAGTTGCTTGAGGGCAAGGAACCTTTTTGGTCATGTTTCTATAGCCCTTCCCCCCCAACTATTACAGGGCCTTGCAGGAGAGTATCACTTAATAAATGCCTATTGGACTGAACTAAATTGAGTATTGCTGTGGAGAAGGAGGGAAATAAAAACACTTAAACTATAATTTCTCAAGAAGGAATTTTCCTTCCCAAAGGAGCCTTGGAAACACTACTTTCCACTTTTATGTAGCCTAGAACTTAAGGCTAACAACATTATTGACCGTCTTTGTTCCCTGCCAGCCTGTCTCAATCACCTCCTCCTGATTTCACTCAATAAACTAACAGCTGTGAACTGGACTCATTGATTAGTATTTGGTATTTCCCTCCCTAAAAGAAATGTAGGCGCATCACTTAACAAAGTCAAAATTGTCATTTGCTTCCCATTTCAAGCAAAACTATTCTGTTGATGCTTTACTGGGAAAGCCTCACAGCTCACAGAAAGTCAAGAGAAGATGTGGTCTTCCAGAAGTTGAACACGTGTTACCCTCTGAGTGCTCAGCTGTCCACCAAGCAAACGCAGGACAGCAGGGAATGTGCCTGAAGAGTTGTTGAAATGACTAACATGAAAGGACAGCTCATTAAAGCCGGCTGTCTGGGAGTCAAGAGGCCACTCCAGAGTGATGGTGGACATCTGAAGACTTGGCTTAAGGAGCCACGCTTTGAAGCAGCTTTAGTCCTATGAATTCCAGATTTCTCAGCAGCTCTCCCATTCCCGAGGTAGAGAGAATAAATCTCCATAACTCAACCATTTGCTACAGGGCTATAGTGAAACAGTGATCCACTGATTTCAGGGGTCTGTTTAAAATTAATGTACAAATTGCCAGCAGCATCTATAAAGGGATTTAAATATTTATGATTTCTTTAAAGTTCTAAAGGCTCTGTCTTATTTGATTATAATAGCTACTTTGATCTCTAATGGGATGCAATGAAACAACTGTTGTGTACTGTGTCCCAAATTTAAATGCATGAGCCTCATCCTATGATTTTTTTTTCTCCTGTAACAGACTCACAGCCTGGAGGGGAAAGCCAAAAGAAAGAGTAAAGTGAGGCTGAAAAGGATTTCCCAAACCAGAAAGGGTAGGATAATTATAAAGACAAAAAAGTCCTTTGACACACATATAGATATGCCAAAGAAAAATGTCCTTGGGGCAACTAACAGGTTGAAGAGTAACCTTCCCGAAAGGCACAAGATCTGTGGGAGGCAATTAAAGGCTGTGGATTTCCCTAGCTTGCAGAAGCCTCATTTCATGCTTGAGATACGCACTCACCCATAAGCTTGTAACTGTTCATCATTCTAATTAACTATCAAACCAAATTGTTGGGTTTTCTTCCTCAGACTTTAGTAATGGATGAGCTGAATACTCATAATTAAATTAAGATACTTACAGATGTGGCACTTGTTACACCAATTCTGTAATTCTTAAAAAGAAAAATTATTTCCCATTCCATTTCCAACAGATTCTATTCTCATCTTGATCAACTGCATGTATTCCTTAATGCTATTATAATTCTAATTTCTCTTAGTTTCATTCAGTTAAATATGGTTTGGTTTTTTTTTGTTTGGTTTTTTTTTTGCTTAAGAAAAGTCAGTGGAAACAAAGAGTTGACAGATTCCCCTTGACTTAATAACTATTCCCTCTGACAATTTATTTTTCTCAAACTCAGTAATTACTATATTGGAATCTGGAGACAAAAGCCAACAGGGCAAACAGCTTGTCATTTACAATCATACATTAAAAAATCATTGAAATACAGTCACAAATAAAGATCGAAGTGACCATCAGATATCATCTATTCAATCATCTGATTCCAGAATTATGCTTAATTCTAACTTGTGAAGGATTCAATTGAGAAAGGGTTTATTAAGTGTCTAGTATGTGCCAGTCACAATGCTAGGTATTAGGGATATACAGGAAAAACAAATATTCTGTGCCCTTATGGAACTTATGTTCAGTTGGAGGAAACAACCTGTATAGAGAAAGTAAATTATGTGTGTGTGTGTGCGTGTGTTTATATATCTATATGTGTGTGTGTTTATAGATAGATAGATAGATAGATAGATAGATAGATAGATAGATAGATAGATATAGAAACCCTAAATGGTTAAATTATTTTCCCAAAGTCCCACAGGTAATAGACAGTAGGTCCCATGACTGCAAGGTCAGAAATCTTTCTAAATACAGGAACAAAGTTTGAGAGAAGTCAAGAGGGTTTGGGTTCGAATGATAGCTCAACTTCCCATTCTCCGTGTGACTTTGCATATGTCACTCCATCTCTCTGGGCCTCAGTTGTCTCATCTGTAAATGAGGGAGTTGGACTACCTGACCTCAGCTTTCCCACCTATAAAATGGGGGTGAGAGCTAAATGGCCAGTTAGGTCCTTCTGGCTCTGGGTCCTAGGCCTGGATTGGCTGTTCATCTCAGGCCAAGTTCATAAATGAATTTACTTTGCTTTCACTCGACAAACAGATCTATGATCTTATTATGCCACCTGGGCCATTCATCCCCTGAGGAGGTGACCAAATGAGCTACCTGCCTTCCACTGACCACTTAAAACAGCAGTCTTGAATTTTCAACCTGGCAATAAGTAGACCTCCATAACTCTGATTCTCCAAAGCCAAGCTATGCATCTTCAGATTACAAATATGTAACAGGGACTAGACTGTGATGTCTTCGGTACTGGGAACTCCAGTCAGTTAGTCAACAAGTAGTGTCAGCGTACCAGGCACTGTGCTAAGAGTTTGGACTATAAACACAAGCAGAAAGAAAGACAGTCTCTGTCCTCCGGGAGCTTACATTCTAAGGAAGGAAGACGGTTCGAACAGTTCGTGAAAGAGTGGTGGGGGAAGGGAGGTGGGAAAAGACAAAGGTATCAGGTGCCCTGGGCTTAGTAGATGAAGATTTGAGTAGAGTATGACCTGGAGAAGAATAAGATATAATTGGCCTGAGCCTCATTCTTCAGTGGAAGTTCTAGGAAGGTCCAATCAATCAGAGAAAGAGAGGGCAGTGTGGAGGGTACTTCCAATGAGTGGATTTCAGGCATGGCAGAGGAAGTCCAAGTACAGAGTGCAGATTTGAGTGGAAGCCCCCCCACCAATGCAGGTTAGCCCCTTCTTCTCTGCAACTTCTACTCTCAGAGAGTTACTTAGAGCACTAAAGGGTTAAGGTCACACAGCCAGTGTAGGGAAGGTGGTAGCTTCTCTGTGATAAAAAGAACAAAGGTCTCAGGCAGATTTGTTTCCCTTTTTCTGTATTAACTTTATTTTCACTTATTTTTAATTAGCAATTTAATTAAGACTTTAGACTTCCTAGTCTCTCTAAAAAGGGTAGATGTTATAGAAACCATTTTCAAAGAGAATAAGATGAAGATGCAGATACTTACAGTGTTTCCAGGTTCTGAGCAGCTGCTCAGAATGACATCCTGTGGCACACCCCACCAGGATAAGCATTTCCCAAACCCGTCTACCATTATGGAGATACCTCTACCTATGGGGATTGGCTAAATACACGGTGGTATATGAATGTAATGGAACACTATTGTGCCACAAGAAATGATGAAAGGGATGATTTCTTACAAGCCTGGGAAGACTCTTGTGAACTGACACAGAGTGAAGTGAACAAAACCAGGAGCATAATTTAGACAATAACAACAACTCCATAAAAATGGACAATTCTGAAAGACTTAAGAGCTCTGATCAACACAATGATCAATCATGATTAGAGGGCCAGTGATGAAGAATGCTGGCCATTTCCTGACTGACAGGTGATGGATTAAATATGCAGAATAAGAATGAGAAACATAAGGGCAGCTAGGCGGTACAGTGGATAGAGCACCAGACCTGGAGTCAGGAGGACCTGAGTTCAAATCTGGTCTCAGACCAGACACTTGACACTTACTAGCTGTGTGACCCTGGGCAAGTCACTTAACCCCGACTGCCTTGACAAAAAAAAAAAAAAAGAATGAGAAACACAGTTTTAGACAGGACCCTGACAAGAATTTGTTTTACAAGACTGTGTACTTTGTTACAAGGATTGTTTTTCTTTTTTTCTTTTCCAAAACAGATGGGTCAAGAAGGTGGAAGGGAGAAAAGATAAATCATGCTCATTAAAAACAAATAAAAAGAAAGTTAATATAAAAAAGAAACAAGTCTGAATGAAATCTTTTTTTTTTTTTAACCACAGATAAGCCATCCCCTCCCTCTCCCCCAAGAATAAGCTGAATTCACATATTCATCACACAGTTTCTCTGGGAAAATAAGGTCATGTTCCAGGAAGCACTTTTACGAGGCCACCACACCAACAAAGTGTTCATGGTTTTTGATTGGTGAAAAATAGCACAGATTAACAAACAGGTTCTACTGGCTTTGAAGTCAAACACTTACTAGCTGCAAAAGCCTTGGCAAGTCCTCTCTTGTGCCTCAGTTTCCTCATCTGTAAAATGAGGGAGTTGGATGTCATGACCTCAAAGGTCCTTTCCACCTATAAAAAATATGATCTTATGATGAAAAAAAACGCTGAGTTCTTACCATGATCCCCTAGTTCACATGTAGACAGTCTGTCTGAAGCTGCCTCCTGTCTCAGCTCCCCTCCTGCAGAGCCCTGGGAGGTCACTGGCTGAGAATGAATCAGGGGCATCTGTGCTGGTGTCTCCTCTTCACTGGGCTCAGATTCAATCAAATGTCCTGAGGCCTGTTCATCAGATTCCTTGGGGGAACATGATGGCATTTAATTAGCAACTAATTTAAAAGAAAACATCAAGATTACAAGGCCAATCATTTATTTTTTGGTCTTGGAAACAAACAGGCCTGCCCTCCCATTGACTAAGGTATTAAAAATACGAAATATTAAATTCCCAGGAGGCAAAATCATGTGGAGGAAAGGGAACTAGAACTTGAGTCAGGAGGGCTGGGGTCTGATGTAACAGCATCTCTCTCACAAACTAGCTCTATGACCTTCTGCCGGTCTCCACCTCTATGGGCCTTCAATTTTCTTATGTTCAAAAAGAGGCAGATGGACTAAATGAGGCTAAGATGCCTTCTAGCTTTAAAAATTTGGAGCTCTTGTAATCCTAGAGCTAATTTAAAACCTGAATATTTGAGAAAAACTCAGAAGGTCCAAATTTCTAAAAGGAAGGCTGGGCTTCAAGGTATCCATTAAAACTGTTCCTGCAATGAGTCCTGGGGCTACTGCTGAATGACCCATTTTCTTTTGGCAAATAGTTAGAACACACACATATACAAATAAAAGCTGTCATGGGGAGATACTCCAAGAGTTTCTCCTTACTAAGAGCAGAAGGGAAAGTTCAAACTAATCTTCTTAAATAAATAAATAAACTGCACCAGCGCCCTGGCCCGGGTTGGCATTTGGAAGATGGCAGTCACACGGCTTTTTAAAAGGTGTGCGTGCTGTGTGCCATGATTGTTTTGAAATGCAAGGGAGACCAGCAGGTCCCAAATTTCAAAGGTTCAAAGCTATTCCAAGAACAGTTTTAAGAACAAAGGGAGATGCTGTGAAGTCTGTGAAAGGGGGCCTTTCACATTTCAGAAAGCACTTCTGCTCCCTAGAAAAGGGAAAAGTCTTTGGTCTCACAAACCGCTACGGGGGTTATCACAGCCTCTTCCCTAGAGCATGGAAGGAACCCCTGCTTCCCTTTGCTCCCCCTTTGCAAGAAGAAATGTCGGGGCTTGATTTAATCTTTCCATCTCAAATCCTTCATCACATATGTAGCTCTGCAATGTGCAGTATCAACATAAGGAGACATGATGATGGGCCAAGTGCGTATTTACAGGGAAAAGCTGGATGTATCTGTCTCTGTCTTGTACAGACCTAGTTATTTCTATGTTTCTCTCTCCCATTAAAGGCAAGCTCCTAGAAAGCAAAGACCGCGTATTTGTCTCTCTTTATATCTCCAGTTCTTAGCCCAGCGTCCAGCACATAGCAATTGCTTAATAAATGCTCACTGACTCACTTCTCTGGATATTACATATGTAGGGGAGTTTGCTCTTTGACTTGAGGAGATAACAGGGCTGCAGAGTCTTTGGGCCTTCTCTCACTTCTGGGACATACCTATTGATTACTCCTTTGAGAGGGTGAGAGATAAAATGGGCATCTGCCATGATTTGGTTGGCTCAAGCCATGATAGGTCAGAGTCACCCTTTGCTCCTGTCCTAGAAAGAATCAGCCCTCTGCTTCTATATAGAAACCAGCCTAGTCCCTAGCCAACTGCCTTCTCTACTGGTTAAACTAGCTGGCCTCTGAGACGATATTAATAATAACAATAACAATAGCTAGTGTTTATATAATGCTTTAAGGTTCACAAAGTGCTTTACTTACGCAGGGTCTCTATAAATAAAGCTTTAAATTGCACCAAGACTTTTGGGGCACTTGTATTATCTCGTCTGATCTTCACAACAAGCCTGGGAGGTAGGTGCTATTATATACCCCATTTTATAGATGAGGAAATGGAGGATGAGAGAGGTCAATGACTTGCTCAGGGTCACACGGCTAGTAAGAGTCTGACAAGGATTTGAACTTGGGTCTTCCTGACTCTAAGTCCAGCAATCTCAAGGGATTTATCCTCTTGCAACACTGGGAATCTGTGATTTTTACTTTGATTGCGTTGCTTTTTTTTTGCCCCTTTTTCTTCTCATAGGATCACAGATCTACAGCTGGACTGGACCTCAAAGACCATTCATTTTCCAAGTGAGAAAACTAGTGATTTGCACACCGTGTTCCCACATGTAATAAATCTCTGTGTGCTTTGCTACAAGGGACAGCTACCTGGGTAGAAGAGGAAAGAGGGATATATTTAGAAAAGAAGGTGACAGTGAAAACAAAAGATATCCATAAAAATGTAAAATATACAAGAAGAAAAGAATGCTCCCTCCCAAAGGAGGTGAGAACCAGAGCTAAGAGCCTGTCTGGGCCCTGGCTATGCTCCACCTGCCACCCCCTCCCTAATTATCGCAATGGTTACTGCCCCTCCTAAACAGCTTTCCTGATGTGACCCTGCCTTCCGTCCAGTTTTCAGGATTTCAAAGCCCAGCCTCAGCCGAGCAGAGCCTGTGGGCCAGAGTCAAAGAGCCAGCAGGGAGGCGGTCAGAAACATCCCCCAGAGGGCCTAGCCGCTCTCCTGGAGCCTGCCTCCGAGAACCCTGGCCAACATCCATCCATGGGCAGGCTCTTCTGATTAAGCAGGCCTGAGCACCTTCTCTTCTCAAGCTCTGTCTCCCTCAGGGCTGCCAAAGGCAACTGCTTTTAGAAAAAAATAAAAAAAAATTTAAAAACCTGCTTTTTTAAAACCACTGTCTGGACAGGGCAGGGAAGGGGGATCAGATGAAGAGAGGAGCCCCAAAGGGACACTGAAGAAATGAACTGACATCCTCTCCTCCCCTTTCTTCTCCTCCTTCCTTATTTTCCTTCCCTTCATTCTCTCTCCTCTGATTGAACCATATTTCCTCTTCATTGCACTGTTTCTTCTTACTTCTCTCCCAAATTGTGCCTTTTCAAGGGAGTTAAAAACCCTTTGGTCTGCGCAGAATGCATCTGGCTGCCCACTTCTGCTCACCTTTGGTCTCTGAGTATCATTAAATGGGCCTTATGTCTTCTATTCTATTTAACCTGCTCCCTCCTGGTCTGGCCTTCTGGCATTGTTTTTAGTGGAAAGGAGTTTTCCTCTAGGGTTAGTCCTCTTTTGCTTCTGTCCCCATTGCCTTCTTTGGTGGGTGTTGTTGTTTTTCCTAAATAGACCCTAAGAAAGTCTGCTGCCTCTTGATCTCTTCAGGGCCTCATCTTCCTGGGGTCCTTAACCCTTTTTGTGTGTTACAGACCCCTGTGGCAGTCTGGTAAAAACCTATGGACTCCTCATAATAATGTTTAAAGTATACATAAAACACACAGAACTACAAAGAAATCAGAGGTTAGCAAAAATGAAGATGTGATTGGCGGGGTGGGCGGGTTTCCCATCTAATTTTCCATCTCGCTGAAATCTTTCCATGGACTCCTTGGGAGTCTGACCCCCAAGTGAAGAACCCATCCATCATCTGCACATACCATCACTTTTTTAAAGTGGCCTGCTTGTTACTGACTAGAAAGTCTATGTTTCTGTGAGCAAGGACTTCTTCTAGCCAACCTTGTGTGACGGTAGCTGCAATAGCAATCTTTCTACCCAGCATTCAGCTCCCTACAATTTGAACCCATCCAGAAGGAGGCCAGGGACCAGGAAGCAAACATAAAACACCTCATTTTCACAGAGACCATTCAGTAAAGCACACGTGCTTTATTCTCTCTCTCAGGGCTTCACTCAAAGTCCACTGATCTTATTTTAGACAGGATTCTAGGGAATCTGACTATTTCTTTTATGAACACATTATAGATTAAAGGTAGCAAACTGGAGGTGAGGAAAGGGACTGCTTTTGGCAGCCAAGGACAGAGACAGTAAACTATAAAGTAGTCACAATTCACAAAGCACAGAAGGCTGGGGCCACTTAATGTAAGGACAGACTGGCTTATAACAGCAACAAATCCTGAAAGAGCACCGGCCCTGAAGTCAGGAGGACCTGCGTTCAAATCCGGCCTCAGACCAAACACTTGACACTTACTAGCTGTGTGACCCTGGGCAAATCACTTAACCCCAATTGCCTAAAAAGAAACAAAATCAAAAACAAACCAAATCCTGAAGTCATTGCTTACTTTATACAGTACAGAGCAATAATTGGTGTCCATGGTGATGAAGTGCATGGTAGATAGGAAGGAAGGAAAGAAGGAAGGAAGGAAGGAAGGAAGGGAGGAAGGAAGGGAGGAAGGAAGGAAGGAAGGAAGGGAGGGAGGAAGGAAGGAAGGGAGGGAGGGAGGAAGGAAGGAAGGGAGGAAGGGAGGAAGGAAGGAAGGGAGGAAGGAAGGAAGGAAGGAAGGAAGAAAGGAAGGAAGGAAGGAAGGAACAAAGGAAGGAAGGGAGGAAGGAAGGAAGGAAGGAAGAAAGGGAGGAAGGAAGGAAGGAAGGAAGGAAGGAAGGAACGAAGGAAGGAAGGAAGGAACGAAGGAAGGAAGGGAGGAAGGGAGGAAGGAAGGAAGGGAGGAAGGAAGGAAGGAAGGAAGAAAGGAAGGAAGGAAGGAACGAAGGAAGGAAGGGAGGAAGGAAGGAAGGAAGGAAGGAAGAAAGGAAGGAAGGAAGGAAGGAAGGAAGGAAGGAAGGAAGGAAGGAAGGAAGGAAGGAAGGAAGGAAGGAACGAACGAAGGAAGGAAGGGAGGGAGGAAGGGAGGAAGGGAGGAACGGAGGAAGGGAGGAAGGGAGGAAGGAAGGAAGGAAGAGAGAGAGAGAGAAAGAGAAAGGAAAGAAGGAAGGAAGAAAAAGAAAGGAAGAAAGAAAAAGAAAGGAAGAGAGAAAGAAAGAGAAAGAAAGGAAAGAAGGAAGGAAAGAAGAAAAAGAAAGGAAGGAAAAGGGAAAGAAAAAAGGAAGGAAAGGAGAGAGAAAGAAGGAATGAAATCAGGAAGAAGGGAAGGAAGGAAGAAAAGAAATAAAGAGAGGTAGACAGATACTGGTAGATACATGGAAAAACAGATGCAGATAGATACACAGAAAGACAGAAATATAGATAAAGATATATACACACATATATGCTTGTATATATACACATACACACATATACGTATACACATATATAACAGTAGTAGGTATTGATACCATAGCAACCTTCTCTCCTAAATAAAGATTATACCAGAAAACAAAAACAACGCAGAAATATTTGTGTACTAAGAAGATAAACAAGGGATTCAGAAAACAAAATAAATGATCAGACACACCACTGTTTTAAGTATTAACTGCATTTTTGGATGCCACAGAGTTACTTCAAGAATAAAGTATTAAGTAGCTTGTTAGATCCTTTAAAGCAAATATTTCTGAGTCTCTACTTTTCAACTTCCAATCTCAGGAAATTTGTGTCTTTGTCTTTGTCCTATCCAGGTCATTTAGGAATAAAATGCTTCTCTATAAATTGCTCAGCCCTTTCACCCAGAGCTGGAGGATGGACAGCTCAAGATGACTAGCACGACTAATAAAGATTTATGAGCCCCTCCCCTGACTTGAAAGGAATCCCCCCAACCCTTAGGATTCTCTGACTTGCTCATGATGGGAACCTGGGGTTTACGCCCTCTGGAAAGGGGATTTTAGCTTCCTTTGCCTGCTTCGATATGAAACCCTATAGTCCCCTAATATCTGCAGGCCATCCAGAACTCATTGGTTGCCCATTTAGATCTGGCATTCAGTTAAGTATTCTTGTGTTTCCACACCTGTGAACCCAGCCAAAGCCGGAGTGAGACAGAAAGAGTATCTGTCTTGTACATGAACTCATAACTGACTTCAGTGGGTAGGAGAGGCCACAGAGAGCAGAGATTCTACTCTCTACCTAGGGATGAAAGACAAAGAGACAGATTCAATTACAAGAAGAGACCCTGGTGGTCATCTGAGGCATATCCTGACTTTTCAGAAGATGGAAGCCTTCGGATCCCTGGTCAGCCAAGGCAAGAGGAAAAAACCAGCCGTGACCTCCTTGAATCTGCCCTGATCGCCAGTCTCAGAAGTGTGGCAGGCAACGAGTAACCCTCCGCCCCCTACCCCAAAATGCTGTCTTTGGGCTCTAATGCCAGCCCCAATCATGACAGAGGATCCCTCTGTGGATCAGAAATGGGCGTATACCCCCAGCAGAATCAGAAGATGTGGGAGGCTCTGAGCATGACCCAGAGACTCAGAGGAGGTAGATATGCCTCCCGAGGGCATGGGAGAGCCTGGCAGACTTGGGGGATTTAGGACAGACCCCTCCTAGACAGATGACTGGATTTTGAAACATCCAAGGAGCTTCCATGCCATGCGGTTACATGCAAGTATTACTTTTACCGGGAAGCCATTTTTTATTGTAAAGTGATTCCTCATTCTACAGATGAGGAAACTGAGGCTGAGAGGTTAAATCCTGGGTCACCCAGCTAGACAATATCAGAGGCAGGTTTTGAACCTAAGTCTTCCTTGCTCTAAGCCTAGTGCTCCATCCAGACTACCCCTGGGGTATAAGCTTTGGTAGTTCTGCCAAGCCAGAAAGGCTTCAAACACAGACTCTGTGATGGGCCCTATGGTCAGATGTCCAAGGACTAGTCTAGCTAAGTCTAGAAGGGCTCATCTAATGAGATGCTCATTGTGAAGCACGTAACACAGTGCCTGGCACACAGCAGGCACTATGTCAGTGCTTACTCCCTTCCTTTTAACCAACTAGATGGTCTCGGAGGGACGGATTTTCCTCCAGTGTGACTCTCAAAGATCATCTCTCAAGTAACAGGAGGCTGATATTTGGGTAGGCCGGCATTATCATAATGAGGGAAAACTATGACAAAGGCAGGACATCCTGGACTGCTGCTTGAATGACATTTGGGGAGGAGAAATGCAGCGCGGTAAGGCAGGTAATACAGCAGATAGAGCATCCAGGCCTGGAGTCAGGAAGAGCTGAGTTCAAATCCAGCATCAGAAATTTACAAGCTACGGAACTCTGGGCAAGTCACTTAACCTGAGCATGTCTCAGTTTACTCATATGTAAAATGGGAATAATAACAGCATGTACCTCCCATGGTTGTTGTGAGGATAAAATAAAATGAGATAACATTTGCAAATTACCAAAGCTCTATATAAATGCTATCATCCTCAGGAAGTATGGAGCAAACATAGTATAGCCACAAAAAAACAAAACAAAACAAAACAACAAACAAAACACAAAGTTGCTGTGAATTCAGAGGATCTGGGTTCAAATTCTGTTTCTGGTCCTTGATAGCTTTGCAACTTTGGGCAATTCACTTAACTTCCCTGGGTCTCAGTTTCCTCATATGTAACATAAGGCGGCTGGATGAGATGGCCTCTCTGTTCCCTCGCAGTCAGCATCTATGGTTCTGTGGGGCTGGGTGGAAGGAGGGATACACCTTTAAAAATATACAGTTCTGAGTTTTTAGGCTAGGGAGACATTCGGCTCTTTTATATAGTAATATATTTTAGTCATTTAATTTTATTAAATTTATTTATTAAAATTATAATTTTTAAAATTTTATTAAATTCAGTAATTTGCCTAAGCTGATGCGGGCCAATAAAGTATTAGATCCATCCTGATGCTCCTCCCTGGAAAGCCACAATGGGCGGTGGGCCCAGGGTGCCAACCACGGGTACCCAAAGCCAGAAGCACGGGAGGCAAGAACAGGCGCGAGGCGTCCAGTACATACGCAAGAAGACTTACATGTAGTGCGTCTACACCCAACTGCTGAACGTGCCGGGATCGCAGAGCCTGCATGCGCTTGGTGTTCTGCTCGTATTTTTCTTCAGCTAACTTTCTACAAATCAAGAGTGCATACACAGATGTAAGCATAAAACACTAAGGTAAAAATTACACAGCATCACACAGGCTAAGTCTGTTTTTCTCTCGTAACAGAGGGGAGATTTCTGGCCGCCAGGATAGGTCGGGTTCCTGGACAAAGCTTCCCTCCTTCCCTGCTCCTACCTCTAAACTTTGACCCAGAGTTTATGTGGCATTCAAGACACATAAGATGCTCTAGGCATCCTCAACAGTCCTTTGTGCAACTTAGACCTCACCAGAAGAGAAAATATTCAGGCTCTAGACATATCTACCATATAGTGACAGGTCTGGAGTCTTTGGTTCAAAGCCTGCTTCTGGCATTTATTAGCTTATCTCTACGATCCTGGGCAAGTCATTTATCCCTTAAGTTACTCAGGCAACTCTCTTTGGACTGAAGGAGGCAGCAGAGTACCCAGTGAAGAACATTGGCAGCAGAGTCAGAAGACTTGGGTTCAAATGTGCCTCTGGAACTTACTATATCTGCGGCCTTGGGCAAGTCAGTGCCTCAGTTTCCTCAGCTATAAAATGAGATGACCTCTAAGGATCCTTGCAGTCTGGAATCTATTAAGTCACAAAAAGTTTGATCTTGATCTGTAAAGTTCCAACACCTACAAAATCATCTATCCTCGGGATACCCACATGTAAAAGGAGAGAAGAACTATTATGTCAAGGGTAATGACAACCTTTAAGTTGGCAGAGTCATGAAAGCAATGTATCAGCGCATTTTGCTTCAGTTAAACCCACACCAAACTCTGGTGGAGCCTTTTCTCCTTGTTAAATAAAGGATATGTTAAGGAGAAAATGCATTTTTCATTCCTTCCTACTCGAGTTATTTCTCTGTTGTTACAAGCATTTTTACAAGTCTAAGCAGATATAACTCTGCAAATGTCCATTCCTGATGATGCTGTGAAAACCTTAAAATGTTCTTTACAGCCTTTCCTGCTAAAAGCAGGTCATACACACACACACACACACACACACACACACACACACACACACCACTCACTCTCTCTCTCTCTCTCTCTCTCTCTCTCTCTCTCTCTCACCCTGTGCTTCCAAAAGATGCTGGCAAAAATGCCCAGCTTGTCCACAGGTTTTCAAATTCAAATTCTTATTATATAATAATCTTTGCAAAGACTATGAACAAAATGCAAATTGTTTTTCCCCTTTGTACAAAATCAAGACATTTCCTTTTTCTTCCTTCTTTTTTCCCTTTCTTTTTTTGGTAAGATTAGGAAATACATCCTTTACTCAACCATCCAGGGCTGGACAGGATGAGGGGCCAGAGTCAATTAAACGGACAGATCCTTCCTAGACTCCCTTTCAGCGGCCAGCAGCAGCGTCTCCTTCCTAAATCTCTTTACTGGGGAGGCTGACAAGGAGTGAAAGGTGAGGGAATGAGGTTCCTTCCTTGTCTTTGCTTTGCTGGCCATCTCCTATCCCCAGAGGTGGTAAGTGGCAATGAAGCGGCAGGGGATGGCTGACCGTAAGGCCTGAGATAATCCACAAACGGCTAGGATGGCTTCAGAATAGCAGAGCTTTGTCCAAGGCAGTTCAGAAATGGAAGTTTCCCTGTAATTACTGCCTTCAAGAAGCAGGGTAAACTCTCAGCATGGCCTGAACGTGTGCTTTTTTATAAGGTTTATTTCACACACCAAAAAACTTCTCTCCTTTCCCATTTCTTCCTCTTCTTACTTAAGTCAACCATTTTATATAAATGAGTTCTTCTCTGGGAAGATGAGTCATGGCATATTCACACCACCCCTAGGGCTATTATACAGGAAAGCCCCAAGGAATCCCAGAAAGCGGAAGCTGAGTAGGGAGCAAGGGGAGTAATCCTATTCACTCCCTCAACAATTTCACCATCTCTTGCTAATTGATGGTACAAAAGGAGTCAGTTACAATGTAACTTCTCAATTCGTTAGGGCAGCTAAGTGGCACACTGGACAGTGCCAAGAAGACCTGAATTCAAATCCAACCTCAGACACTTACTAGCTTTGCGGCCTTGGGAAAGTCCCTTAACCTTTCTTTGCCTCGGTCCATTCATCTCAAAGATGGGCATAACAACAGCACCTACCTCCCAGGGTTGCTGTGCAATCAGATGAGATAATATTGGTAAAGTGCTTAGCACAGTGCTATAGAAATGGCAGCTATTAGGATTATAATTATTGTTTATTTTCAGAGCCATAACTAGGAATCTCAGCACTTACAGCCAGTTTATTTGGGGGCAGGGGAGTGGCCAGGCAGGCAGATGCTGGGAAAGATAACTGGACTCTAAGTAAAATGCCAGGAGAAGGCATAGTTTATACCTTTCATCCTGCCCTTGATGGGGTCGGGGCCCAAGCCAAGATCTTTGCCCTTTGCCCCAAAGGGCATCTGACTCACAGGCCCCAGACCCTCATCTCCCTTGAAAGCCCTAGCTTACCTTTAGATCTTATTCAGATGCACCTTCAACCCTTGCCCTGAATAGAATCTGGCTCCTGTTTGTCTACAGGACCCAGAAAACCCTTAAACCTTCAAATTTCCTAATCGACTCCCCTCATCTCCCTTTGAAAGCCTTAGGCTCCCTCTTGTCTATACGCCCCAGAAAGGTCTTCCTTATAGACTTCCTTTATCTCCTTTTGAAAGTCCTAGCCCCACCTTGATTTTGTGCAGATGCCTTTCAAACTTCTGCCTTCCTGTTCCCTCCATTATCTATTCCCATTGTCTATTCAATCTCTCTGACCTCCTCAATTAGAATTCTTACCTAGACCCATTTCCCAGGCCCCTTCTCTGGCCACCCAAGGTTGCTTTAGTATTTAGGATCCACCTTGGCCCTCATTCAGATGCTGAGAATCTCAGCCCTACAAGGCTGAGAACCTCTCATGCCCGCTCTCATCTTTACGGGTGTCACCTGGTCAATGTGATTTATCACTAATAAACTTTTCCTCTGGCTGAAGAAGATTTGAGTTGAATTCATTCAGCAGGGCCTGGTACCATGATCTTGGGGTCCTAGCACCCCAAAACCCCTAGACCTCTTCACCCTGACCTCTGATGGCCCTTGACTCCACTCCTACCAGAGCTTGCTAGTTCCCCCTAATCTTATGGGGGTGCATTTCTGCCAGGAAAAGAAGAGTCCATCACTTTGTCTTCTCCAAACTCTATCAGACCATTTTTCAGCTGCCTTGCACTCTCCTGGGGCCGGCCTTTCCCCCAACCCACACAAAGGATGTAAGCTGGTGGCCCCTGAGACATAAGAAAAGAAGTCTCACAACTACTATGAGTTACTACTTTTCAAAACTACTGCAAAGAGGAAGCAGGTCCTTGGCCCCCACCTGACCAATGCTGACACCTGGGAAGAGGTTCTGGCTGCACTAGCCTACTTATGGCAGATTCTATTTTATCAGTGATGGCCTGTTAGCCAGTCCTTCACTTAATAGGGAGTGGCATGCCTGCTGTTAGACTATACATCATGTTCATTCTGATTCTTCTGGCTTGACAAATTACAGAAGATGCCTGGACAGTTATCTACAAGTTATCACAAGATCTTGAAAGACAGCTTACTTAAGCTTCTCTTTTCTCTCATCAGCTGCATGGAGCTTCCTCAGTCTCATCCTCTCTCTCGGAGTCATTTTCTGCACTTCAGACAGCTCCCGCAGGGTCTGTAAATGGATCTTTCTCTGCCTACAAACAATAAAAGGTCCCCACAATATACCTACATTTCCACGCCAAACTCGATCGGAAAAAATACACAAATATCTCACATTAGCAGAGCTAATGTGAGCTGACACATCTCAGGAAGTCAAGGCAAAAATCATGGAGTTAGGTAATTAGCCAGCCAGGATGGCAGCTAACAGGCAATCATTTTCCAATCAGACTTTTATTTAAAAGCTAATTATGTAAACTCTCCAAATACCTGCTCATTTTGTTGTCAATGACCAGTTTTTGTAATTCATGACTTCATAGCTTAGACTGAGCCTCATCAGTCATCGGTGGGATACACAGGAAAAGACTTTCAGAGACTGTGAGCTATTATTTTCTGTCAAGAGACATCAAGGAATTCTAAGGAACACTTCTTACATCTGTTTTGAGACATAGTAAGCACTTGGTATGGGGAGAGGTTAGGTGAGAATAGCTTTGTGTCTATTATGACGGGTATTTTATGTCTTTTTAGCACTCAAGCAGCAATCCAGAAGGAACGGGGCAATTTATAGAAACATAATACTGGATTGTATGTGACTGACTGAATGAATCCACTTAAGGTAAGATCTTTTATCATGCGTTGTGTGTTCAGCGGTTTTTCAGTCAGGTCTGACTTGTCATGACCCCACTGGGGTTTTCTTGGCAGAGATAGTGGAGAGGTTTGCCATTTCCCTCTCCAGCTCATTTTACAGATGAGGAAACTGAGGCAAACAGGGTGAAATGACTTGCACAGGGTAAAACAGCTAGTAAATACCTGAGACCAGATTTGAACTCAGATTGGTGCTCTATCCACTGTGCCACCTAGCTGCCCTACCTAATTAGGGACATCTCTATTATTAAAAAATAAACATAATGGGGAAAAAACTAAAAGGGAGGGGTCAAGGGGATGCAAGGAGCAGTTAAGAGAAAGAGTGCACCCCAACCAGAGGGCTGTAAGATCATTCATTCCCATTACAACTCTCTCAGAGATAGTTCACATAAATTTTGGATCGATTTTCCAGGGATTTTCATTTCCCCCAATACCTGTGTCCTGACTACAGAGCTCCTGCCTTTTCACCATTATAGGACTGATCAATATCTCCCTGTCAGGGCTGACAAAGGAAGGCAGGTATCACGGCAGCTCAGGGAAAACCAGGCTTTACAAGATGAGGGAAAATCAGCTCCTCACAGACTTGGGGGTGGGAAAAGGACATCAGGGAGTCAGAATTTGGAGTCAGAAGACTTGGCTCTGCCACTCGCTCCATGCATGGCCCCTCTAGACCTCAGTTTTCTCATCTGTAAAGTATAGGAGTTGAACTAGATCTCTCTGGTCGATTCCAAATACATATGGCCATCTGTGTGTGTGTGTGTGTGTGTGTGTGTGTGTGTGTGTGTGTGTGTGTGTGTGTGTGTACGTATATGTGTATGTATATGTACGTGTACATGTATATGTATATGCATGTGATGGGGTATGGGCCCAAGCTGAGACCTTTGCCCCTCACCCCAAAAAGAATTTGGGTCCCATTTGTCTCTGGGCCCCAGAAAACCCTTAAACTTTCTTTGAACTCACTCTGGTCTCACATGGTTGCCTGAGGCTATACTCCAATCAACTGGCTTTTCCTTATTCTTCTAATGGACTGGCTCTCTGGGTCTCTCTTTGAAGAAGAGTCTTTTGATCCCACCTTTGATCTTATCAATCTCTTCCTTCCAGTTCTTCCTTCCATTGTCTTTTTCCCATTGTCTATTCAACCTCCCAGACATTCCCACGGGAACTCACCCCAGCTTCAGGATCTTTCTCCAGCCCCTCCTCCTAACACCCAAAATTATCTGAGTGTATATAAGATCCACCCTGGCCCCATTAAACGCTGAGACTTCCTCATGCCTGCTCCTCTTTATGGGAGTCACTAATGTTCAGGTTCCTAAGAAACTGGCCTGTATGGCCCATCCCTTATAAAACTTTGTCTCTGGCTGAAAGATTTAGGTCGAATTCATTTGGGCAGGGCCCGCCATGCCATGACTTCAGGGTCCCAGACCCCCAAGAATCTAGACCTCATCACATATGTATATACATACATACATACATACACATATATGTATATACAGATATATGAGCAGAGATTGTTTCTAGAGCAGTCCCAAGGACAGGGCCTATACCAGGCAGGATTTGATGATCCAGGCTTGGATTTGATGGCCTTTGAAGACCTCTACCACCTCTAGATCTACAATCCTACAATCAAAGAGATCTTAATCTGGGGTCCATGAAATTTTGTTTTGGTTTTGGTCTCTTTTAATATAATATTTTGTTTTTCCTCAAATACATGTTAAAACAATTTTTAACATCTTTTAAAAAGTTTTGAGTTCCAGATTCCATAAGATTTTTTTTAACATTTTAATAACTATATTTCAATATAATTAATTTCCTTTTACCCCTACACATTTTATTTTATGCATCTACAAACAATATTCTGAGAAGGGATCCACAATCTTCATCAGACTGCCAAGGGGTCCAGCATACATCGAACTAGCTTCAGGCTTTAGTAGGCCTGTGGGGAAGATATTTTGGGGCAGAGGGCCTTGCATTATATGTCTACACAGAAAGATGGCTTTACCTGTGGACACATAGCTTTATTAGTCCTAGACTGACCTCAGGATCTAGAACTCAAATACTCCTTGGGACCTTTGGTTCATTATGGTTTTCTCCAAGGTGGACCCAAGAAAGTAGGGTTCCACTCTAGGCTGCCCAGACTTACTTTCATGTGAATAGAAACTCTTAAGTTTCCAACTAAATGGGCCTTCTCTCCCGACCCACCGCAGATGTGCCCCAATACATTCTCACAACGTAAGAATGGAACCAAATGCAAGAATTCTACCTTAGCAGATGGGGAGACCAAAGGTCCAGGAGTTAAAGCTCAAGAGATATGGGGAAGTCATCCATGTAAATAGTGTGCTGAAGTAGGGAACCTCTGAAAAATTCTGTCTGGTGCCCTCACACTCCCCCTTACATCATTATCTGGAAACCGACCGAGAGCCTAGATATGAAAGTTGGGTTGCTTTCCTCTAGCACTCAACAAATAGCTTTTGTTTGGTTATAATATCATGAGCCACAGAGGGAAGAGAAAATTTAAATGGATTTTCACAACTCCAATAGATTTGATAGGGGAGAATAAAATGAGATTTGGGAACTACTTTTGGGTTTGACTTGTCTAAGTTATCCTGCTCCTCTATAAATATGGATATAGTCAAATAGATTTATTTCTGAAGAAGTTCCAAAAACATCTCCCCTCAGGTGAGTAAAGGGATCAGAATCCAAATCTTTGGCTAGTGTAAGTAAGGCCAGGAAAGTTAAATCCAATGTCACGAGAGGAGTCATTGGGAGGCTCAGCATTGAACTCTGGTCCCCAGATTTTATACATTAAGATTAGATAGCTACACTTTCCAGTCTGTACGTAAAGGCAATGAGTACAAGGGACTGAAATTGAATCAATTACTCGGATAATTCAGGTCCAAAACACCTCAATTTTCAATGAAGCAATAGAAACAGTTCTCTTTTCTCTGCTTCTGTCTGTAGAAACCTAGCTTGAGTTCAAAATGTTTCTCTTTCCTACTTATCTTACTTAAGAGGGCCCCAATCCCCCTCTTCACACAGTTTTTAAAAAAAGCATGAATGTTTTATATGCAAGCAACACAAAATACCCTCACACTCAAATGGCCATAAATCAAACACTCTCCCTGAATATAATACTGTCTAAATCTTTCCCACAAGGGTAGAGTTATGCATGCTAAAGAAATTGCTACTAAGTGAGCAGAGTTATCATAGTACTAGGAAAGCCTTCAAGTGTGTTGGTCACTCTGAGTTCCTGGGGACAACAACTGTGGTGCTGAGGGACATGGTGGACCCGTGACTGGCCACAGAAAATGGGCTTTCTGGTGCAAACCTATGCAGCTGTTCCGTCAGGCAAACCTGAACTGCCCTCAGTAGCCCCAAGCCTTATGAGCTGGTGTTATTCCTCCATTTAGATAGAATCACTGATGACAAGCAAACATGTCAGAATGGGACAGCTACTTGACCAAGGGTCAAGAGATCTAGAAGTAATATACCAAGTGCTGTTAGTATATATTCAGTGTGAAATCTCAAGCAAGGTCTCCGTGTTCTCATGGGTAGAAGAATTTAACTCAACAATTTCTAAAGATCCTTCCAACTTTAATATTCTGTGATTCCGTGGTAAATACTATAGCTGTTAAGGCTGGGTGGAAAGAAGGATTTTAAATTTTCTCATAAATAAAAAAAGGGATTCAGAGAACAGCATCGGCTTTGTTTCCTCATCTGTAAAATGAGGAGATCGGATTATCCCTTCCTGTTCTCATCCAGGTAGGCTGGAATACCAATATCAATAGGGGAAGGGAAAAGAAGATTTATTAAGTATCTACTATATACCAAGCACAATGCTAAGTGCTTTACCAATATCAATCTCATATTTGTGATAATCACTCCAAGCACGTAAATGTAACAGGACAGAGCTTGGATAACGCCACAGACAACATGCTCATCAGATCTGAAACTGGCACAAAGCCATAGAGGACAGCTACCATGTTGGAAGTCAGAGTCAGGAGCCAAAAAGATCTTGGCAGACTACAATTTGGGGCCAAATCTAATTAGGACAAATGTAAAGTCTTACATTTGAGTTTAAAACTCAGCATTACAGGTCTAAGACGGGGAAGGTATAGATAAACAGCAGTCAATATGAAAAAAGATTTGCAGGGGTTAGTGGACTGCATGCCCCAAATGAGCCAACATTATTTTTATGTGGCTGAGAAAGTAAATGTGCATTAAGAAGGATGCTGTAGGTAGAACAAAAGTCTGATCAGACCAAACGTGGAGTACTGTTTTAGCTTCTGAGAGCCATGTGTTAGGAAGGGCACTGATAAGCTAGACAACATGACTGACTGTCAGTTATATTAGAGATGAAACTCCTTCAGGAGTGGGTTGAACCACTTGTCCCTTTCACCTCTGAAATTCTAGGATCCCTTAATCCAAAGGAGGGCAAGAGAGATGATGATGGGCCTCTAGAACATGGCCTATAAGGAGAGATTGAAGGAACTAGACATGGTTAGAAGAGCAGACTTGGGTGGAGAGGTTGGTGAGGGGAGAGCCAACTTTAAATGCCTTTAAGCATTTGAAGGGCTATCACATGGAAAAGAAATTAGACATGAAATTACAGGACCAGCTTTTCTCTCAATAAAGCAGAAAGCTGGGATGACATAAGGTGTAAATCCAAGACATCATAATTAAAGACTTTTAAAAGCACCCATTCTCTAGTTCTTATTTCAGAGTATGTATATCTTAGGGAAACATTTTTTTAAATTTTCCATTGATTCTCACAAGGATTTTTTTTTTCAAAAGAGGGTTATGAATAATATTTTGCCAGTTTTAAATTAAGCAAACAATAAATGAAAGTCATTTGTGTTTCCCGTTATAGAAGACACATCAGTGTAAATATTACTAAATGCTCTGGATATTAATTTCTCAATATATTTGCAAGATAATGACAGTGATACCCTGCAGATGGGTTTAAGTTTTTATGACTTCCATTTGCTTCCACTGGGGAAAAGGGCTTTGGGACACAGTGTCACCGAGGCACCTCTACTTCTCTGCATGGCATTCGTGGACTCTAGGAACCCTCCTACAATAAACTCAGCATTAATAGAGCTATGAAGATAAATGTGCTAAATGATCTTCCAGTCTGAAGTTTGGCTTTTTTTTTTTTAACAAAAACCCAATTTACTCACATGGCATTAATGAGATGAGCTGATTCCGTCTGGCGGTTCAGGTTTTTGTCTTCCAGAGTCATGCTGGAATATTTACACCTCATGCCCTACAAAAGAACAGCAAACCTGACGAAGGCTCAAAACCGTCGTATGACATTGTCATCTACTTCACCTCCAACCTGCAAACCATCCACAGACTAACAACACGTCATCAACCAAAGCAAAAGCCTGCGAAGGGGGCGACTCTTCGCTTTTCCTCCTCCTTTAACAAAGTGGGGGGTGTCTCAGACAATCAGGTTTAATAAGACATTAGCTGATAACTTCACTGCCCTTCCCTCTGCCCCTTAAAAACTGCATTTCCTCAATCAAAGCAGGTGGGCATCATCTTCCTGACAAGAGTGCAATAAAAGGTTTTGGAAGACAAATGGTCTCTCTGAGATCTACTTTGGTCAAATAAAAGAGACAGACCCTAACCTAAAAGTGTAAGGACCAAAATACTCCTACAGAGTGAATAATTAGCTTCCTTCTCGCCGTCTACATAAAGCCAGCTCAACATTGGCGGTGTGCCACCTACACAGAAACAGCATAAATCAACCAATAAGCGTTTTTTAAGCATTCACTCTGTGCCAAACTGTGCTAAATAACTGGGGTACAAAAAAAGGGCAAAAACTATGTCCTGCCCTCAAGGAGCTTACATTCTAAAATAAATTCACCTAATTTATTGGAAGGATCACTAAGATCTATAATAAGAGGGCAAGATTACATTCAAATCAATAAACATTTATTTGGCAATCTGAGTAAACTATATGCAAGGTACTCTCCAGGAGTTGGGGATTTAAAGACAAAAAAGAAACAGTCCCTACCCTCAAGGATGGTCTAGGAAAATGCCAAATTTCAGTGTTCTCTTCTTGTCTTTCTCATCACATATTCACTGAGTGTTTTGGTAATAACACTAAAATCCATGACACGCAGGATGGCCTTTTGGATAGCGTGCAAATCTTACACCTTGACTCCCTAGATCTAGGGATACACCAGGGATCCTCTCTTACGAATGAGCTGTCATATCTGAGAAGTCTCTTCTCTAAATTTTAATCTCATTTTTCCTATTCCCAATGAATCCTACCACATCTTGTTCCCAAGAGCATCTCTTCAAGGTGTGTGATTTTGATTTAAATGCTAATACAGGTTCTTCTGTATCTGCTTCATATAAATACCTGCAGTTGCTCATCAATGTAAGGGATTTTTAAAATTTCTATCGCTGATGGTCTCGATGAAGGACTCTTGTTCAACATGCTGTAATGTTCAAAAAGAAAAACATTTTTTTCCAAAAGACTGAAAATATAAATGCAAAGCCAAAGTCATTTGGGTGGAGAAAACCTGTATTTCATCTACCTTTGCATGATGGCATTCAGCTCCTCTGAGTATTGAGCAGGAAGAGAAGGCGTGTCACCTTCAACAATTTTTAAAACAATGGACAAGAAATTGTGACCAGTGAATGCATGACTCATGCAGCACAGCTCATACAGAATGCATGCCAGTGACCTAGAAGAACAAAAGCAAAGATTTTAAATGGAGGTGTGGGGAAAAGGAAGGTAAGGTGTGACTCCAGATATCACCATATCACCCACTGTCACGAACCCATTAGAACATGACCGTGAAGCGCCTCCATGTACTTTCTTTGCCTGATGGAAAATCCCAACTCCACACTGGTCCTATCTATTTCAACACAGATTTGCAGGGACAGAAGTGGAATGGGCAAACAGAAGCTAATCTTGGACAACTATGGAACTAGAGAAAAAACATGCATGAACACCTTGTCAGTCTGAGGCAGTCCTCACAGGGCAGAGAGTTCCAACCATTTACAGCACTCAACTTTACTTTTTCACTGGAGAGAAATCAACATTCTTTACTAAGACAGTTGGATGGCATGGTGCATGGAGCATTGGACTTGGACTCAGAAGGACCTGAATTCAAATCCTGTCTCAGACATTCATCAGGCATGAGACCTTGGGCAAGTCACTGAACTCTCAGTCCTCATTTCTTCAGCTGTAGAATAAGGAATAATAATAATAATAATAATAATAATAATGATAATAATAATAGCACCTACATCACAGGGTTGTTATGAAAATCAAATGAGATAACATATATATATATATATATATGCAAGCTATTAATATCATTGTTTACCAATCTTATGACATCCTCCATCCCTCTTGCAAGTAGATAGCTATCTGCATGGAACTGAATGCTCTAATGCTCATCTGATATTCAGCTGGGCATAATGAGTAAAAGTCTGGCCTTGGAGTCAGGAAAATCAAGGTTCAAGACCTGTCTTTGGCATATGCTAGCTAAGTGGTCATGGACAGTTATTTAACTTGCTGGTGCTACCAAGCAATTTTCTAAGATTGTAAGTTACAGAAGAAGGGCTTATCTGTATTGGTGAAGGGAATTTTCCCATTTAGATTTTCCCACACTGATAAAATCATCCTATCAAAAAAATCTGTTCTGAGTATGACAGTCCAGGGTACTCAAGTCCTGCATTTGTCCAAAACAGTTTTGAAGTAACCCTGAAAGAAAGCATGTCTGAGCCATAAGAAAATCTTCTTAAAGAGATCTGGTCAATATTGTTATTGTAATATTGTAATTTTTCAGTGGATTTGCATAGAAATTTGTGTTTGTAAGATTTGACACCATCCAACTTGATCTAGCCTTTTGTATGAGTCCAGATAGAAATCTGAAGATAGAAACTGGAGGAGTACTCCTTCCTCTGGACTCCACCTTCAGTGTTATTGGGTAGGTCCAGCCACACCCTTTTTTTCCCCTCCAACCAGACAACTCCTACTCACTAGTCACTGCCCTCGACTCCACACCTGCAGCGATCTTTCTGTCTAGGTGTCAGGGCAAGAGAGGAGTGAATGAGAAAGTATGATCCAACCTCCCGGCGCTAGTCCAAACAGCAAACTCTAATTAACTTTATCCTAGGACAAAGTGAAAACAAACCATCCTCTTGGATGGGAGGGAGAGAGAAAGAGAACACACATTTATTAAATGTCTATTATATGCAAGGCACTGTGCACATATGTGCTTTACAAACATCTCATTTGATAAATCTGGAATTGGAAAAGGAGGGCTTAAGTGGTACTTCACTAGCTGCCCAAACTCTCAGCTGGGGAAAATCAGACACTCCTGTTGCTCTACCCCAGGGGATGAAAGCAGCAGCTGCCTCCATGAAGCTTGGATTCACTCACCAATCACCTCCTCCAGGCCCAATATCTCTGCCACCACCATGTCTCACTTACAAAATCCCTACCCTCTCTCCAAACACTTCCCTTGAAAGGGTCTCTAAAAAGGACCCTTTTGCACAAAAACATTTCTAGCAGCTCTTTTTCTGGTGGCAAAGAATTGGAAATTGAGGGGATGCCTATCAATTGAGGAATGGCTGAACAAATTGTGGTATATGAATGTAATGGAATATTATTGTGCTGTAGGAAATGACAAGCAGGATGATTTCAGAAAAAACCTGCAAAGATTTAAATGAACCGATACAGCATGAAGTGAGCAGAACCAGGAGAACATTGTACACAGTCACAGCAACATTGTACGATAAACAACTGTGACTGACTTAGCTGTTTCCAACAATACAATGATCCAAGACAATCCCAAAGGACTCATGATGAAAAATGCTATTTGCCTCCAGAGAATGAACTGACGGTATCTGAATACAGACCAAACCATACTAGTTCTCTCTCTTCTCTCTTCTTTCTTTTTCTTTCTTTCTTTCTTTCCTTCCTTTTCTTCTTTCTTTCTTCCTTTCTTTCCTTCTGAGTTTTCTTCCACAAAATGACTAATATGGAAGTGTTTTACATGATTATACATGTATAACCTATATCAGGTGGCTCACCATCTCATAGAGGGAGAAGGGGAGGGAAGAATGGATAAAATTTGGAACTCAAACCAAAAAAAAATGTTAAAAATTGTTTTACCTGAATGTGGGGGGAAAATAAAAGATTATTCAGAAAGAAAAAAGAAACAATCTCCAACACTACCTCTTTGAACCTACACCTCCCAGAAACCCATGAAGGCAGGCTGTAAACCCTACTTTCTGCCTACAGAGTCCTCCTACCACAAAGCCTACTATAATCACATTTATTAAGTATTTACCATGTTGAAGGCACTGTGTTTGTCATTGGGCACACAAAGATGAAAAATAAAAACACAGCACAAACTAATAAGGAAGATGCAAGAACAGAAAAGAATAAAGAAAACTCTATTGTGAAGAAATCACTTTATGACATCGGTAATCAATCATATCACAGTCTGTTATGTGTGTATATATATATATATATATATATATATATATATATATATATATATATATATATTATATATGTTTTTAACTGTTTAACAATGATCCAAAGTATTCATGATGACACATTCCCCATCTCCTTACAGAGGAGAGGCGATGGACTCAGGGTGGAGATCAAGACATATATTTTTTGGATGTGGCCAAAACAGGAATTTGTTTTGTTTGACTAAGCATATTTGTTACAAGGGTTTTTTTTTTCAATTTTTCAAGGAGGAATGAGAGGGAGAGAAATTAGCTTTTTGCTTATTGAAAAAAAAATCAAATGTATTTAAAGGGAGTATCATGGTCTCTTTAAAATAGGAGAGTGAGTATCCAGAGCAAGCTAACGCTTTGGGTATCAGAAATTTGGTAGCTATTAATAAAGAGAACTCACTGTCCACTAGTTACTAAATACCTTGGAATGGCAGATGCTTACTGTAAAAGTGGCTCTAAAGGGGAACCAAGAGTGCTCAGAGGCAGGATGGATTACTGTGCCAGAAAGCCCCTTGAGTATCTTCTGTCTGATGGACCACAAGATCGGGGAACCAGAGGCAGGGCACAGAACTTGGAGAGGCAAGCATGGCATTTCTTCTGATGAGCAATATTCTCTCCTGCTAAAGTGAAAACCAGAGTAAGTGGAAACTCAAGGCAGAAGCAAGGCTGATGGGGTTTTTAGGCAAGGTAAAGACGGCCACAACCATAGAGAATCCTTGGGCAAGCCTAAGAGAGCCACAGGTGATGTTCATTTTACTCAGATCCTGCCTAATTCCAGTTTCAAGAGTCGTCTTTTTTAAGAAGCAAGTAGAGGCAGGATGGGAACAGCTATTCTAGGAACTGCACCAGCTCCCTGTGCAAAGGGACCACTGGCCATCATGAGACAGCTTATCTCCACTCTTACTGAAGTTGCTTCCTATACTTCTAGTATCTCACTGTTTTCCCTGGCTCTTCCATTGGTTCTTCCATTGCCTTCTCTGTCTTGAAGGAAAAACAATATCACAAACTTTGTTTCTTGGTGGGTTTGGTCAACTCCTACCTGCTCATCTGCAGCTCCCCGAGAATGCCAACAGCATGTGCTCATGCCCTGCAAGAACTCCCATCTCAAGAGCAGATCAGGGCTACTGGGCATATTAGTGCCCCCACTACCTACCTCATGGGTTTGCTCTAAGGATCAAACAGCTAAATGTAAAGAGCTTAGAAACCATAAAGGACTTCATACAGGCTAATATGCATTACTATTATTATTATCACCATTACCACAATAATTAACTACATCAGTAAATATTATGTTTTTCTGTTCTGTTTTCTTGTGGGCAGGGGAAGGAGAGAGATTTGTATTGCATACCATATGTTCCAAATCCCATCTTTATTACTGCAAACTGGAGGTCTTTAAACTCTCAAGTCTTACAGAGGAGTGTAGCCCAGTAGCCTCAGGTGGGAGGGTGGAAGGAGAATTAGAGCAAGAAGAACAAGAAAGACTAAAGAAAAATGTCAGTTGTTAGTTGAGCTCAGGGCACACCTACTATCCTAGCCCTACCCAATGGTATGCTGGAGATGTTTCAAATTGTTTCCTGAAAGCTAACTGTTAAATTTTCAGTGTGAGTATTTATACCTTAGAAATTTTTTAAAGAGTCACAAATTGGGGCTTGTTTTATTGTTTTGTTAATTGTCTAGACTTAAGAAAGTGATGGGAAAATGTTAATAATGCAGACTAAACTTTGAAATGTGTCATTACAGTTTTTTTTTATTTTTCTGGAGAACTGATTGTTAAACATTTACTAGCACACCCCTGGTACTACCAATGAGCAAAGTACATTGAAAGCCAGAATCAGGAACCTGATGAGAGGACCACACAAACCAGAAGATGAAATTAGTCCAATAGCAAGGAATCGTGTTGGAAGCTTATTTCATTGGGAAAGAAAATGACAGAAAAACTGAGATTCACCAATCAAACTATCAGTCTTGACCAGCACTTACTACCTGCTATGTATCAGGCTGGATGTTAAGTGCTGAGGACACAAAGAAAAAACAAAAATAGCCCTCACCCTCAAGGAGTTTACATTCTAATGGAGGAGACAACATATATAAATCAGAACATACGAAAGAAAATACAGAGTAGACTGGCCTGAAATTAAGAACACACCTATTGGCCTGACTCAGGAGTCTAGATCAAAAAGTAAGAGACCAGCCCAAGGGA